ATAGCTCCACCGGGCTATTGCCTCTGGGACAGCGCGTGAAACAGCAATTTGAAGGGAGAAGAATAGCTATCTCAAATACGGCTTTGTCGGATTCTTCAGCCCCCAACTTCACACGTTTTAGGAGAATGCATCCAGTACTTCTTAGCAAGTAGCTGCATACCACTGAAAGTGGTGGTGGTATTTTTCATCAATTGATTCTAGGAGGGATAAAACTTAAACGAATAAAAGAATCAAAAATCGGCCAGAATTGTTTTATTACCCGATGTTACTGATCTTCGTGCGAATAAATATTATGAAGTCTTTTTAAGGGCAAGCGCCAGGAGATGCCATCTATAGAATCTGATGATGCTTCTGACATTGAGGGAGTGGATCTCTCTCCCTTGTTAGTATGTTCACTAACAGACTCTGAACGTGCCCAATATGATCGTTTTGGGCAACTTCACAGTGGGCGAGAGCTTATACAAAGGCCTCGGTAATTTTCATTTTTTGTATCAGGACATGTATAATCGTTGTTATGCCATCCATAGAATTGGAATAAGTCTTCTAGGATCTCTAGGAGTTGATCTGTGGTGTAGTGAATTCGTCATTAAAAACGTAACATGTTACTTCCATCTGTTAAAACACACAGAAGAGCGTTCCAACGTCATAATTTTGTCGGTTTGTTTGAAAAGTAGATCCTCCGAATTGGACCTCTCACATATTCTATATCCGCTGAAATGCTGTAGCCGGTGTCCCTTCGACTTTTTATCCTAAACCTTTTCGATCATAGTACAGATAATTTGTTGTTATTGTATGATGTGAAATACTCCCACTATTCCATAATTGCTTTAACGGCAATTGAACTCTCATATTCATTTTTCCAAGTATGAAGGCAAGGCATTTCATTGCTTAAGGATTTACTGTTGTCACGATATAACGTGAAGGATTTGGCTCCCCCACTTTCTTCACGATTTGGGGCGCGGCCGCGGCGAGCGCGGACGAGTTGGTAGTGCCCGCGAACTGTGCGGGTAGGTTTGAAAACACTCCATCAGCACAGTTCGCGGGCACTGTCAACTCGGCCGCGCCCTAAATCGTGAAGAAAGTGGGGGAGCCGAAGAATTTCCAGGTGATTATGAAAACTGTTTTGTTGTATTTATAATGTTATATACATATACATAAAAAGGTTTTTTCTTCAAGAGTATCGCATGTTGCGGTGTGTTTCCCACGTTGTATTTAGAATGTTTTCCAGATGTGTGGAAGCCCAGTCGTGAAAGTAAGCCTCTATTGTGTTTGTATTCGTGTGTAGAAGAGGGACGATCATGATTTTTTTCCTCCTTTTTTGTCTTTTGTTGATTGTGAACTGTTAATCTAGAATAAGAATCGATTTCCTTATTCAAATGCTAAGTTTACAATCAGAAGTTTACAAAACCATACGACGTTGTGGTGAGGTATGAACGGGTGCTTCTTGACTGCAACGTCTACTATCGTCGGGTCGTATTTTACTATGGCTCTTTATACACAAATCACTAGAGACAAACCAAAATGTGTGGAAATTTTAAAAAAGCGAATTTTTGCCAAAGTCCTGCAGAGATATGAATGAGCAAAGTCAACGGTGGCGAATAAATTCCGAAGCCTTCTCCAAGCAATTTATACTGGAGTGCATTCAAAAATTGCAGTGTGCCGCGCTGCACTACAGAGTGGAAGTCTAAGACCTCTCTTCTTTGGGCCAAGGTCCTTCCTGCAGGTTTCTACTAATTTCACTACGGTGGAATTCCGCCGTCGTGGATCTTACTGACGATGAGCCTTTTAATCAACCAAGGCAGCGATAGAACCGTACATAGAGGAAGATTGTCAGTGGACGTTCTCCGTTCCGCAACTCCTCCAGGCAGCTCGTACTCATCATCCGATTCGACAACCCTTTCATTGTTGGCGTGCTAGTTTTGTATTTTATTCTTTTTGAAAAAACAGCCCACCATGAAACAGGTAATCACCTCACGTTCCATCACTCCTCGCCACTTTTCGCGCAGACCTTTCTCTTCTGCGGCGGTATT